ATATGCCACAAGAAATATTTTATGCAATTAAGGTTATTTAGCTATATAAATACGTAGCTATATAAATACGAAGCTCTCTCGTTGCTACATCCGTACCACTTATTTGTTCTGCTTACTTCGAGTCTGACGAACAAACAAGCAACGAGCTTGTTAACTCTAGCTTTAGAGTTAATTGCTTTAAGTAAACACTTTTACAATGAACTGTGTTTTATTTGGCTCTGCCGCACAAATGTCTCAACAGACCCAAGTTTTATCGGCCCAAGTTGTTTTTCCACTGCTCGAAATTTTTATAAAAAAACAAAAACTTTAAAAAAATCTAAATTCGTGCGAAACACGAGTGTTGTAATTATATTCGTTCCAGGTAAGGGAGGCAAGATGACCAAGGACAAGGGTTTTGCAGAAAAGTTTCAGACATATAGTGACTAGGAGGAAGTCAACGTTGACAACAAAAACATCATTTGAGGTAGGTGATACAAGGAAGTAAAGCACACAAGTCATAAAATTGAAAATCGCAACGGTATACACGCATCCTTGTGAAGTGAAAATTTGTATAACTGGTAAACTCGGTGATATATACCCAAGATGTATGCACATGGTTATTCGTACACTCATATACTCCATTTTATAAAATTTGTGAATTTAGCTACATTTAAAAGAAATAAATAATTTAGTTGTACTTGTGAGTAAAGTTTGTTTGAATAATATTCGGATTCAGTGAAATAAACGATTTTGATACGATATGCCGATATAGATTTGGTTCTGTAAATTTAACTCCATTATTGCTCTCACGATATTCAATTTTATTCTAAAAAATTCATTGCATCTACATAAAACAAAAGAAGAAGGCCATTATACATAGGCTTTTGTTTGTCTGTGCCAGCATCGAGCGCTACTCAGAATTTCGGCAAAGTCAATACGTGTGAGTGACAACTCACTGGCGAGTGTGTGAAGAAGACTAAAACTTTTTACAGGAGAAGTAAAAGGCTGGGACCAACAAGTCAACTCTTTGCAGGCGTTAAGTGTACTTGTGTGTGATGAATCAATTTTCTGTGCGTTTTCTGTCTTCGTCAGCCAGGCTGAGCATCTGTTGTATACACTGATGCAATGTGTACCTATAATTGTTACTATTATTAATGTTCATTTATTTATTGCAACTATTCGAGTACACGACCTCCTGGCTAATATTTGAAGAAAGACAAAAATATATTATTACTCTTTTTTTCTCCAACCACTGTCGTTTACGCGTGCATGAGTATATGCATGTATACATATTTATTTGGATATGTCTATTTAAACCATATATATCTCACGATGCAGCCTATACTTATTTAACTATGAAAATGAGTAATATTAGCAATATAAATAAATAATTTAGCACAGTCAAAAATGTTTACGCACAGTTGTTGTATCATTTACCCTTATAGTATTAGTACAAGATACAGAAGAGGGCTTTCAAACTCTATTAAATGATTAAGAAAAATACTATCCAAAAAAAAAGGTTATAGTTAATGATTAACACAAAGGTTACAATATCCTGTAAGAAATACGGGAAAAAGAGAAGCAAAACATAGAAATTTTAAACCTAAGAGATTGAAGTGGTTCCGAATTATAAATACTAAGAATCTGGCTTTTTAGCAAAAATGTACTCAGCACTAACATCAATAAAACTGCTTAAAGTGTAAGAAAAAAAACTCACTTTGGTTTATGGAAGAGAAAAAAATTGGAAAACTCGAAAGGCAGGCTAGAAAAGATAATCATCCATTAGACACGGTAAATACGGTAAAACATTTACATAGATCAAAAATATGGGGATGGGAATGACGGGAGTAAATTGAAAAAGCGCAACGGTCATTTGTAAAAACGGTAATGGAAATAAAAAAAAGCATACCAGCATCTAAATAAAAATGAAAGTGGGCAGACATACTTTAGAAGTACCCAAGATAAAGAGCAGGTATCTATTTGTAAAAAATAAAGAGAATGGTGGATGACAGGTGGTCGAAAGTTTGTCTGAAAGAAGGAATAATACGAATTAGAAACAAAAATGTCACAAAGAGGGGCAAAAGTGTAACAAACAGATTTAAGAGAATAAAGAATCGAGAGGAGAAAACAGGATTATTGAATTGTTATGGATTAAAATTTAAAAAAAAAATCCATAAGAGCATTAAAAATTAAAGCGGACCAGGAAACTCAATTAAATGGAAACAGAAATGATAAGTCAAAATACTGTTACTATTACAAAGATGTAATTGTAATAAAATAGGTAGAAAATTAGAAAAGAAATAAGTGAGTACTTAGTAAGAAGATTAAAAATTTATGACCTTGAGACTAGGAGAAAATAATTAGGAAAAGACGTACCAGATCTGTGTAATACTAATTTACCTATATAATACAGTGTGTGTACCTATGCGCGCACGCGCGCGCATGCGTGTGTGTGTGTGTGCAGAAGATATTAAAAGAACGAGAAGTTTTCTCCATCACTATAATTTTTGGAAAATCATTTTCTTTGTTAATGCGATCACGTCTATGTTTTAGAATGAAATGATGAAAATGATATAATTTCATAACTATATGTCCCATTTTGCAGACCATGTTAGCAAAATAATGTAGCCCTTGAAGAATCTGAGTATGGACAAGCTAAATAAATTCTATGATTTGGAGTAAGTGAAAGTCTTGTACAGATAAAGATAAATTAAAATAGAGACTATTGAAAGTGTCACATTTAACAGAAAAAAATCTTAAGGGGGTTAGAGCCAAAAACAAATTTCTTACGACAGTATTTGAAAAATTATAATGCGTTTGTTTTCATAACGTTACCAACATATTGAAATTTCAGGAACCGTAGCGTCACAGTTTTTCAGAAAAAAAAAATAGCAAACTTAGTATCTTATACACAGAATCTTATTAGAACGTCGTCGCGACATGTACATTTTTACCAACAACTTGAAAAATATTTTTACAAGTCTTTCAAAAAACTAGTATGTAATTGTAAGTAACAATTAAAATAACATATCCAAATTTGAGGAAGCAAGCCGTCACGGTTTAAGAAATACTTTAATTGAAAATTTTACGAAAATGCTACTGGTATATCTAAATACAGCAGATGAAAAATAAAACATGGAGCATAAATTCGATTTTGAAGTATTAATTTCTTATTTTCTCACTTGTTAGTAATCTTCTGCTGTACGATATGAAATAGCTTGCATGATTTATCAAGAATAGTCATAAAATACACTAATTTTTAATTCGAATTAACTTTTGAGACTGGCTGTACCGCTCTAACCCCCTTAAACACTGGGTAGAGAAGAGACAATGAGTTACTTTTATTTGGGATATAAATATTTCATACATATTTCAAACATTTTTGATCAAGCTTATCAACTTTCACCTGGGGCAGAAAAATACTTTGGAGACGAGGGGCTAAAAGTTGTCTGTTAGACTGTGGGTGAGAAGTTATGCCCTGAGGCACATAGCCGTGGATCCAAAGCAAGTAAGACGATTTTTTTACGGGAAAAATTTTTCTTTATTTTTAGATGTTGACTCTGCTACTTGTAAAATTAAGCTTAGTAAAATAAAAAAAAATTTACTTTTTGACTCTTGCGTAGTTTGTGATGCCATCCATGTCATACGTTTGTAACTTTTTCTGTTCTGACAGTTTTATTTTTCTTAAACAAAGAGTTATTTTTTTACCTTTATTATTATTGTTATATGTTATTGTTCGTTAAGTTTTTCTTCTTTACAAAAGTCATAGTTTTTAGTACAATTTTAATTTTACAAGTTTTTTTTTTTTTTATTCAAATTTTCAGTTATTTACAATTACTATAATTCAAGACAACGAAGTTCAAGGTGCTTGGTGTGTGGTGACCTTTGCTAGCTGATGTAATGGTCTAGAAATAGCTGGTACCTTATATTACTGAGTAATTGCCGATTGGTGTTACTTAAATTATAAAGATTATTTCGGCCTGTTCGTGATTTATTAATCATTTTATAGTTTCTATCTTCATTAACTCTGTCGTTTTTTAAATAATAAAATGTTATGAGAAAAACTTTTTCCTATTATGAGCATGAGGTTAGGACGTTTATTGAGTGAAAAAGTTAGTACTTTATTGATTTCTCCGCTAATTCATTAATTTGTTTGGTCAACAATTTCGCGTATTGGTATTTTATCAGGTTATATTCAGGCTATAAGGTTGAAAGTAGGGTTTTTTTTCGTTATTTACAGTTTCTAAGGAAGTTTAACTGATGTAAGTTTATCTAATACTTAGATAACTATTATTTAAAAGGCCAAGCTGATATCTTAACAAAAAGTGTTTAAGTTATAGGGGTGAATACACATTTGTTGAACATTTAAATTTTCTAATAATCTTACGTCTGACAACTGCTTTTGACCATTTTTAAAATTACTAAAATTTGAAATAAACGTCCATAAGCAAAATCTCACATTATTCTTCGATGTATAAAGTAGATTAAAATGAGTAGAAAGAAAAATAGAAATCATATTAACAATTGCATCTATGAATTACATACTGAACTTACACACACCCACATACACACACGTATACACAAGCTTTCTGTTTTCTTGTCTGTGAATTTCCTGAGGCACAGGCATGACCAAGAAAGAAGATAACGTAATTTTACTTTATTTTAAAATTGTATACCATATTTTTGGCTTGATCTTCGTCAAAAATAAAGTAAAAATAATTGTCTTTTTCTAAAAGATGATTAACTTATGGCCTTATTTTTTCACTATCTTCATTGTGAGTTTTGTTTTATAATTTCTTATCCTAATTTTCCGTCTTTATATATCGTAAAAAATATAAGATGAACTTTTTTTTTCAACCTTTCTTTAGCGAGCTTTTTTTTTATAATTCTTATTTTACGATCTTCACCTTATTTTTGAACACACTTTTTCGTATTTATTTATTTATTCATAAATTTATTTATACGCATTAATACACTCAGATGCAGCTAGTCTAAATATACTACATACTGAAAATTTTTAGGCTAGTAATGGAAAGAAATTCGTATCGAATATATTATTCGTGTGACAACTCCAAAGAGTATCATGAATATGAGCTTCAATATTTGGAAATACATCCTAAATTTATCGATGCCATTAAAAAAATCATTCTACAGTTTCCTAGTTTTATGAAAGTTAAAGATCTTCCCATCAAAAATCATAATTATAAGGTAAATAAAGAAACTTTTCACTAATTACTTTTTTTTAATAGATTTACGCATTCTTATAAATTGTAGGTACAGTTTGTGTCGGACCTATGGGAAAAAGGTATCCTTGTATGTGAAAAACCTTTCTTCTGACTCGTACAAAAAATTGTGTACCATGATATTGAATCATACATAGATTGAGATACTGTCACTAAAAAAAAATTTTTTGAACATTCAATAGCACACAAATTCACGTGGAATAGATGGCAAGCAGAAAAACTTATTATTCAGTGGTTATGAGTTCCAGTTTCCTTCCTATTGAGCCTTCATGTTTTGAAATGCTGTGCGTTGTAGAGGATTGAAATGCTGTCACTAACTACAGTTTTTTTAACATTGAATAGCACATAAGTTTACGTGGAATAAATGGCAAGCAAATAAATCTGTTATTTAGTGGTTATAAGTTCCAGTTTCCTTTCTGCCGTGCTTTCATATTTTAGTTTTATACAAATATCTTTTATGTCGATAATTCCAACAGATGACCAAACAAAGGACTAAACACAAAATGACATTGTAAAACAAAAATGTATGTTTAACTTTTTATTTGTTTATTTGTTATTTAATATTCGCACATGTATTATCAATCGAATGAAAAAATAAATTAAAAAAAAAAAAAAATTATTTTCAATAAGAGGACTTCAAGAACAGTGAAAATGATACGAAGAATTAATAAACTCCAAGGGCTTACTGTTCAGTCTTTTATTAAGTTGACAACGTTTCGACTGCACGTAAGGCAGTCCTTTTTAAGTCTAAATTATGTAGAGCAACGTCCACTTAACATTAAATAATATCTATATCTGCTCTAATATAACCGACTGACTTTTAAGCTGTCTGAATATTCGTTGTCAACTTCATAAAAGACTGAACAGTAAGCCCTTGGAGTTTATTAATTCTTCGAAAAATATTTTATTAATCAATACTAGTTACTAAATGTATTCTGTATGTAGGTGAAAAATATAATCAGGTAAGAAAATTTATTGCAAAAAATGTATGGATTTCTCTGACATTGTAATTGTGTGATCATTTTATTTTTCATTTTATCATGTCTTGCTATATATACGGGACATTTTTGTACGAATTCTCCTCAAGCAGCAAAATACTTTATTGTATTTCATAAGAAGTTACCCTTCTTTTTTGTGATCATGTTAGAACAATTATACTTTATCTTACATTTTCTTAACAGTTTATGACGGTAATTAACCTTGTCATTTTGGAAAAAAAATCAGTGACCAAACTCCTATATTACGTTATTGCATTTTTACTTTACATTAGTACGGCCTTAAAAGGTTACTTAATTCAAATTGAGTCATTTTGTTGTTTACTCGCACTACATCTCATACGGGATGGTACTGCATCATTTTCATTTTTTATATTGGACGGTACTGCATCATTCTAATTTTTGTAAGAAGACCAGTAAATTTATGTTTGTTATAGAATTTTTTTGTATCATATAATCTGTAAGAAAGTGCTAATTTAGTCAACGAATATTTATGAAAACATACATTGGTACTTGAAAGTATTGATTCTGACGCCCTCTTGTCACAGTCAACGTAAGGTTTACGTAAAATCCGTAAGAAGGCAATGTGAAATTCACCTATAGTAGGATAATGGTTATATATTTCATTACTTAACTTTGCAAAGTGTTATTCACTCTGTTATACATCGTTAGACCGTTATGAAAAATGTTGACTGGAATGCTGTTCTTTACAAAAATAGATTGAAAATTGTTTTACAAAATATGATACTTAAAATTTTCTTTAATATTATGTATACAAATTTATCATTACTTATTGTACATTTCAACAAAAACCATAAATCAAAATTAGATTATAACACTACTGAAAATAAAACAAAAAAGCATTTACAAAAAAATTCCTCGATAAAGCTTGATACAAAACTTATCGTCTGGTAATGCTGGCTGCACCATTAATGCACAACTTAATAATAATAATAACTATTTGTCTATAAGAGGTATCAAATAACCATGAAACGATACGCAGAATAATAAACATTGTAACTTGGTCTACGAGAATTGCACTTCAAAGTCACAAGCTATGCGCTATTCACTCCAAATAAATACGTATTCTTATATATTTTAAGTGGATATATTAACGTGGATTCTACGTAGGCTCCATAAATTATTTTTATTCAACAAGTAACATTCAATTGATTTGACACGAACGTGTAAACGTGGATTTCACGTTAACTATGCATGAAAGTATTTACAAAAAAATTCTTACGTGAACGAGTCTACGTTACATTGATTGCATATAATTAATTGCGCATCCCGTATATTCCTTATATTTACCATCTAGCTGTATTATTTTTTTCATTTCTAATTACCCTTCTTTTGGCATGCAAGTCTCTCCTACAGGCCCCTTGCGAAGTTTCTCTTAAAAAAGTTGGCCATCTACTCGGTAAAAAATAAAAGGACGTATTTTGTGGTCATAATTTATGACCATAAAGTATGGCAAAAATATATGACCTATATATTAGCTTTGGTACATTATTGCCCAAAAAATGGCTAAAACCCAGTCATGAAATTGGAGCATCGTTGTTGATTTTTTTAATACACATTCTTTCTCGTACTTTTTAGTTACGTAAATCTTGTTGTAGTCTGTTCGTATATAAGTAATGATAACGTTGTTAAGTTGCTATAACTGTGATAATAGTACTAAAAATTATAAATTTAAGTAACAATTAAATCCAAGACAACTAGACTTACCATTCAATAATTCAAGGAAAATTAAAAAGCTTTTGCTTAATTGAAAGACAAACATATTAACTAATGTTTCTGACTGTTTTACAAACAGTGTTACACATACGTATAAACGCTGATACATAATTTTTTATTTAAAATAAAAATTTTGAATTAATTATCTTGACATGAGAATATCGTAGAAAAATTTCGTATAAAAAAAGAATTATAAAGTGATGAGAATTGTAAGTATATATCTTATAAACAAAATTTAGACTACGAATATTACATATGTTTTGACTTACAAATTTTTTAATTAACAGCACATTTTATATTACTTTAAAACATTAAACACTAAGCAACGATGCATAAATATTACTTATCAGACGTGAAGTCAGATAAATGAAAATAATGCAATTAGCAATTAAGACAATAAAAGTTACTTAGATTGATTTTCGTATTTGGGTTCGAATTTTTCTTGAGGTTCTTCTCCAGCATCGTTCTGACAGTCTTCTGACTCACTTTTATCTTCTTGAAACTCTGAAAATATTTTATATAGACATATTTATTATTTACTACTATAAAAAATAAAATAAGTTGACATGTTAATCTTTCATTCACATCATCTCCTTTGTTTGAGTTATATGTATTACTGAACTCTAATGAGATACCCACATCTTTTAATTCATTTGTATATTTTTTTCCTCCGATTTACTTGATTCACCTTTTTTCAGCTCTTGCAGTATGCTATCGCTTATAATATTTTTTTTTTCTTTAGTTAAAAAAAAATCAAAATAAGAAGTTTTTAAAATATCGTTTACTAATAACAGTTGCAGGAATCACTCTGGATAATCTGATTTTTTTTTTAGTGAAAGCCTTATAAGGTGTAAATTTTCTTTATTCAGGACGAGCTATTGATAAGATCATTGTTCAAATAATCTTTTTCCTTCTAAATACAGTTCTACTGCCAGTTCTTTATGAATACAGATAAAGTTTGATTTGTTTCAGCAGAATTTTGTTCTAATGTATAAGTTTCATAATGTATCGATATCTTCGATAAGTATTTTTTGTTTGTTTATGTATTTACAATTTTTGCAAACTTGATCATTTCAAAATAAAAATATCTATTAATTTTATTATTTTTTAATGATACTTACATGCGTCGTCAGACACGTGAAATCTTCAACTTTTCTTGTTATATCATCAATGGATTCACTGATATAAGGTGCATTATGTTTAGGAACTATGTCATTACTAATGTCGACAGCTAAATAAGATGGTAACTTGTTACTCTGTAAAGCAGTTGTAATCAGATTTTTCTGAGTATCGAGTATTCATCGGTCATCCATAACTTTCTGTGCTTTTTGCTTGATTATATCGACTCATTTTCTCAGAAGTTTTTGATTTCGAGTTCTTTCTAGTGTTTTTCACAGATTTTTAAATCTTTTTTATGTAAAGATATACTTAGATTCATTAGATTCCGTAGACAGAAATAACATATTCAAGAAAAAAAATTTATTAAATGTGAGTAAGAACACATATTTTCACTGTCGAATACGTTGCGCTTGGATGATGATTTATTGTGCTTCATGGTTTCTGGATATAAGAAATCGATGATTTTGGATGTTAGCTTGTTTACTTGTACATATATTTTACTAGTGGCCCCCCGTCTCCGCTTCGCCCGAGACTCACTGAGAATGGAACATGGTAGTGTGTTAATATGTAATGTAAAACGTTTTTAGTTAAGGAGGTTTGGGAGTATCATTCAGAGAGCTGAGGAACAGGGAGTCCCCCCTGCCCGCGCATCTGGGCCCCATTTACCGTGCACCTCCTCTTGCACTCTACAAACCTGAAACTGTACGGCTGTTACTGCTCATATTTTTTAAAAATGACTGGCAAGGCTTGATTTTTTTATCAAACATCTTCCTTTTGTACCAAGTTATCTATGAAAACATTTTTTTTTTTATTTCAACACGTTTAAAATGTATCTTGATTTCAATTAAAATGCAAACCTTACATTGCTCTCTCATCACAGACCATATTAAACTGTCAATATTTCATAATTTTTTTGTCGAAAATTCGTCTTAGTGAAAAATCTGAAAAAATTCATGTGCACTCCTCACATGCTCAAATATCATACACATTCTTTTTGGCGCGATGATGGAGACTTGCATGATGCTGAAGATGCTGAAGGCATGGTGATGAAGAGCTTGACTCTTAAGTTGGCTGAAGTACTGGAGTAGGTTGTGATCTGGCTAGATACGTCTCCTGCTATTCCACCGGAGACGTTGACGTTCCGAACGCCTATTTTTCCGTTGCACTCGATTATTTTGGCAATTCGGGGTAAAACCATAAAAGTAGAGTGTCATCCATAGCCGGAATGCCCAGCTGCACGACGAACTACTCTGTTCTTGGTGTAGTGCCGATGATCGACTACGATAATCGTCAACTCGATGGGGCATCTTATAACTACTCTTCACTATCTTTGATTGCGGGTGCCTTTTATTTTACCTCGGCGCCACCTAGCGGATCCTACTAAACTAAAGCACAAAGCTAGCTTATTTTAGAAAAACTTTGAGCTTATTTATCGCTACTGTTATCAACTTTTGCAAGAAAAAAACTATGCGAAAACCATTTCGGAATCATCAAGAATTAGTATGCAAAATTTCTGCAAAATGGGTTTAATAGTTTTCATGGTTAGCGATAATAACGGTTTTAGCAACTTTGCTTTATGTATTAGTAAGATTTGTTTATGAATGTGTACGTGCCTTATGTTTAATGTCGATAAGTTTTGAGTAGTGAAATTATATTGTGAATCTGATACTTTATTATTTTTTAAGGTGTTCTACCCAATTCAGAT